CACTCTGACATATACCATCAAGTATGCACTTCTCAAACCCGATGAGGATCAAGTTTGCCAGTCTTTCATGAGACATCGACTGACGAGGTCTGTAAGCACATTTGTCAGAGCAGAAAAAACTCTTTCACATGTTGCAGTTGACGATCTTCACTGTTCGATGAGGGCATACAGTTCCCTTTCTGCGCAATAATTCACTTCCAACACGAATAATTTAGTGTATTCAACTATGCTCTTGTTTTGTTTAAGAAGCAACACGTTGTCTAACCTTCAGTTATAATTCTTATTTTATTAATAAACGAACGATTAACGTTGCATCGATCAATAACAATATTTTTGAAATCTGACGAATCTGAATAATCAACGTCAGCAGTATGCAGCCGTCGATGCGATAAAAAACACAAAAGCCGAAAGCATAGGTACAAATATATTTTATTTTATAAATATTGATTTACAGTAACTATTACTTCGGTTACCTAATATTTTTTATACATGAGTACATTGGAATTATTCAAGTTCGAAAAAAGTAAAATGAGCATTAATTTTATTTTTTAAGGCAGATTTTTAGAGGGCGCATTTTTGTTATGAGAGGGCGCACTGTGCCATTTCGCGCCCCCGTGGCTACGGCACTTCCCCATAGTATACTCTAACATCACATTTCATAGCTAACTGAAATAAATAAATTTTGCGAAATCAAACTTGACCAACAAAGAGGCAGAAAAATGCAGTCGAGGCAGTCAAACGTCGTTAAATTCTTTTGTGAGCCGATCGAAATTAAGATCATTCACGAAATGAATTCGTGGCGTATTCATAGTGTAATTATTGGTAAGAATCAGTTAGATTAACAACTTCTGATATATAGAAAGGCATGTGCGTTTTGGTGACACTATGTTCCAAAAATGATTTTTATGTCATGTTGCTTAGCAATGAAAGTATAACCTAATATTGTTGTTAGTCTACGAACTGAAAGTATAAAATGAAATGTATAGATAACAAAACTGGATGAAAAAAAATGTTGATTGCTTAATTTAGAGCTTCCGTTGATTAAAGATGTTTGTTTTTTATTAATACAAACGTTGGTGATGTAACGGAAAATAGCTTAATTCAGAAATGATTTAAGCTTAAAATTGAATCGATATTTTTACTTTCATGATAAATTTTATGCACTTGGCTCTAGGCTATGTGATTAGGCCCAACACTCACTACACTTATAAGTTTTCACGTAACCATCCCTACCCCCCATCCTTACGGTTCCCTTGCACTCCCATCACTAAAATCATAATGGACAGACAGTAATCGAACTGTTTTATCTGGATAAATGCATTTTGGCTTTTATGACTCCTCCTATTTGGGGAATTCAAGCGTGACGTGACACACACTGGATTTTATGTAGGTTAGATAAACCCAACTGAATATATGGAGAAGAAATATTTATTAATTATCATTCTGACAAATTCATATTTGTATATTTAGTTATATAACACAAACTTAAAGTGTTCTATCAAGCTACCTGTATCAAAACAGTGTAATATATTGTTGCGTCAGCGAGGTGACTAGTATCACGCCCCCTCCTTCTAGAAATATCTTGTTCCTTCGTGAATTGTCGGGAGACTACTAGATTGGGGGTAGCTGGTATATACAAGATGGTCACAACGTGATGGAACAATGTGAAAGTGAATGAGTAATTGAATGTATGCGGACAGAATATTGTTGGCTACGTGATACGTGAGTTATAGCGTTGTTATAGAGCGACTGTTGAAATTAAGTGTATCGTAAAATTGTATTCGGAA